CGTTGAACAGAAGAACTGCACTGACAGTTCAGCGCTTCGGGGTGGATTTGGACCAGGTGCAGTTGTAGACCCATGGGCAGTGGTGGTCCATCCGGAGCACACAGACGTTGCAAATGCGGCAGTGATGGCACCTGCTGGAAGGCTCCAGCCCTCGACACCCTCCCAGAAAGCCCAGTAACCCTTGAATAAGGAATAGGCCTTAAATTATAAGGGTCTTAATTATTTTTCTTAATTAAGGGGTCTCTTGGGCTCTCTGGGCTGTGTCTCCTACATCAAGCCCTTGCAATTCGGGAAACACCCTGTGCAAGCCTATAGGAACCGGCACAACCCTACAGACGCACAAAACACCAAGAATGACAAGAAGAAGAAGAAGGAGAAGAAGAAAAAAAGTCACGGTCATAATCACAAGAATACTCATGGTCATACTCACAACCATAACAACTATACACAACAATAGCCAAAAAAAGCACCAAAAAAAAAACAGCGATACACTCGGCGCGCCCGACCTGTCAGGCTTGTACTTCAAGCACCACTTACAGTGCCGCCGCTCCCCTGTGGTCTTCTTCTCGGTGAGCTCCACCGACCTCGCAAGGTTTTGGGGGGTTGAAGGGCTGAGGGGATGTTGGGATTTTCGGGGTTTGGGGTTCCGGGGTTGGGGTTGAGGGTTCAGGGGCTTAGGGCCTAGGGGATGTTGGGATTTTGGGGAGTTTAGGGTTTAGGGAGTTTAGGGTTGGGTTTAGGGAGTAGGGAGTTTAGGGCTTAGGGAGTTTAGGGTTTGGGGCTTACGGTTAGGGCTTGGGGTTGTGAGCGAACCCTAAATGCCATACTCCACCCCACGAAGCCCCTAAACCCTGAACCCTAAACTAAACCCTAAACCCCTAAACCCCAAAGCCCCTAAGCCCCTCAGCCCCCCAAACCCCTAAACCCTCAAAGCCCAGCGCAAAGGGGCTCCGAGCTTCCACTTGCCCCCCACTCCCGAACCCAGAAGCTCCCATATCCCTTATTTAAGGATTAGGGTTTAGGGTTTAGGGTTTAGGGTTCAGGGTTCAGGGTTGGGGTTGAGGGTTTAGGGTTTAGGGTTTAGGGTTTAGGGTTTAGGGTTTAGGGTTTAGGGTTTAGGCTCCAATATCCCTGAATTAAGGAATATACCCTAAATTATAGGGGCCTTTAAAGGGATCTATAAGGGTTAAGGGCTTAAGGTTTAGGAATATGCCTTAAATTATGGTAGGATCCCCAATATGATTTAAGGTATATTCCTTAACAAAGGGATATTGGAGTCTCTGAGAGCCAGGGCGCTTCATCTCCCCATCCACGGGCCTGGGCTGGGTTGTGTCTGTAGGGGCAAAAAAGGGTTCAGGTTACTTTGTTTTAGGGTTTAGGGCTATAAGAGTCCAAAAAAGGGCTAACTCGGGGTCTAGGGTTCAGGTAGCTGAGTTTTAGGGTTTAGGATAAGGGTCCAAAAAAGAGCTAACTCAGGGTCTAGGGTTCAGGTAGCTGTGTTTTAGGGTTTAGGGCCAAAAGGGTCCAAAAAAGGGCTGACTCAGGGTCTAGGGTTCAGGTAGCTGAGTTTTCGGGTTCAGGGCTATAAGGGTCCAAAAAAAGGGCTAACTCAGGGTCTCGGGTTCAGGTAGCTTAGCTAAACCCTAAACCCTAAACCCTAAACCCTGTGTGTTTAGGCTTTTTTCGGCGTCCCGGCTCCTTTTCCTTTGCTTTTTTGCTGTTGGGGCCTGCTGGCTTCGGGGTTTGGGGCCTCGGATGGAACCCTAAACCCTAAACCTCAAACCCTTTGGGGCTTCGGATGGAACCCTAAACCCTAAACCCTAAACCCCTAAACCCTAAACCCTTTGGGGCTTCGGATGGAACCCTAAACCCTAACCCCTAAACCCCTAAACCCTAAACCCTTTGGGGCTTCGGATGGAACCCTAAACCCTAAACCCTAAACCCCTAAACCCTAAACCCTTTGGGGCTTCGGATGGCAGCTTGGGGGGTGGAGGGTTTTGTTGTGGAGTTTGGGGCTTCGGCTGGAAGGCCGGAGGCCCCGCTTGCTTGGGGGATCATGGGACTTAGTAACTAGGGCTTTAGGGGTTTAGGTTTAGACTTAGTAACTAGGGTTATAAGTAAGGTAGCTATAATTAGGTGTTTAGGGTTCAGGGTTTAAGGTTATACATAAGGTAACTTAGGGGTTTAGGGGGTTAGGGTTTTGGGTTTGGGGGGTTTTGGGTTTGGGGGGTTTAGGGGTTATAAACAAGGTAGCTATAATTATAACCCCAATTAGGGTACTTATAGCCGTACTTACTAATTCCCATGATCCCCCAAGTAAGCATTCAGCGACAAGGGCTTCGGGGTGCCGGGAATCCCAATTCAGAACAGAGGCCCTACACGCCCTACACCCTCACAACCCGGAACGACCATCGAAAACACCAAATCTCGCAGACATGGCAAGCAACTGCGTCCTGCAGCCCGATGCCGGAGAATGCCGTCGCTTACAAGGTAGACCCCAAAGGCACCACAGAGCCCTAACGTGCCAAAGCTTGTTGGACCCCAAAACCTGAGCAGCGCCAAGGGACGCCTGCACCTCGCTCTGTAGGTCCCACCCCTGGTTGTCCGGGATCGTGCCCGGAAAAGTGAGGAGGCACCTGAGGGTTTAGGGTTTAGGGTTTAGGGTTTAGGGTTTAGGGTTTAGGCTTTAGGGGCTACATGGAACCCCAGGAAAGTTACTTCCATCATCGAGCAGCCCAAAGCCGCAGCACCACCGTCCTCAACCATGTCATCCTGTTCAGCCCCAGCATCAGAATCTGGCTCACGTTCTTCATTTCCATCTTCACATTGTTTCTCATCATAACCCATCACAATAATCAACATATACAACAGCATTAAAGCCGCAACAACAGCAACCACCGTCACCACCACCTCCACGACGACACGGAGAAGACGAAAAAATGTGACTAAGAATACTAAGAACAGGAATGTAAAGAAGAGCAATGATGTTGAAGTCAAAAGCGGCATCAACAGCAACAACGGCATAATCAAGAAACGACAGCAGCAGCAGCAGCAGCAGCAGCAGCAGCAGCAGCAGCAATATCGATGAAATATGGCTACTGGCTACCAGGGGTTGAACTGAGGTTGAGGGTCATGCTCGACTCATGCATTCTGGTCTATGCTGGACCCCACTATGACCGACATTCCCGCATTCTTCCGTGTCACGCAGTGGTGGGTTGATGCTGGATTGAATCTGTGCGAATGCCGCCCCAGCAGCCCTGTCATCGAAACCTATGGCTTCTCTTGAACAACTACCGGACGACGACAGACACACCCAGAGAGCCCAATACCCCTTAATTAAGTAATATACCTTAAATCATAGTAATAAGGCCCCTATAGTTTTAAGGTATATTCCGTATTTAAGGGGTATTGGGCTTTCTGAGCAAAGCTTCATCGAACCCGGGCGCCTCAGCAGGCAGTACAGCAGAAGCAGCGTGACGACGTGGAAACACCCGAGCTGGATCGAAGCGCGTTGCTGCCTTCGCTCTCTGTAAACCAGAGCTGTGGAATAGAGGGCTTTAGGGTTTTTTGTTTAGGGTCTTTTTAAACCAAAGGTGTGGAACAGAGGGCGCTGTCGGGAGACTGATGTGCTGCCCAAGAGAACCTTTGAGCTTTGAGGCGGGTCGGATTCCAGCAAAGATGCAGGGCTTTCCATATTGGTTGGCTTAACTGGCTGCTGCTGGTGTTCTGGCAGGCTTGAGTCCCGTTGCCTACTTGAAGGATCATGGGACTTAGTAAGTAAGGTTGTAAGTAATTGGGGTTATAATTATAGCTACCTTACTTATAACCTTAGTTACAAAGTCCCATGATCCTCCAAGTATGCTTGCCACGAAGAGGAGCACCGATGCGAAGACCTGAAACCTGAACGCAGGCACCGAAGCCCGAACCCTGAACCCATCCCAATGAACTCACCCAAGTGGCGCTGCACTGTCCCGGAGAACATCCGGCAGGTCCAGCTGCAGCAACCGTAGGCAATGAAGAAAAAAGTACCTTTTCAGAGCTCACGTCCTAGGTTTTGGGCTCGGGCAACTCGCCCGAAAGAATGGAAACCCAGACACCTGTAGCTCTCAGGGGCATGTCGAACAAAGCCTGCACCGCCCCTCGTGACCACGGCCCCACCCTCGGCAGCCCGCGGCACTGGATGTAGAGAAAGACAATCGTCACTATCACCTCAGATCTTCAGAATTCCAGAGCTTAGGACTTTTAAACCCTACACCCTAAACCGAAGGCTTAGGCGTTGGAAGTTCGAACTGCAGGGTGCTCGTACCGCTGAAGGCTTCAAGGCTTTGGGTGGGGCTTATAAGGAGAGTTGGGTCAAGCGTGTGGCGCTGAGATCTCTGGGACTTCGCCCAGAGAGCCCAATACCCCGTAATTTCGGAACATAGACCTTAAATCATAATATTAAGGCCCCTATAATTTAAGGTCTCTTCCTAAACCCCACACCCTAATAGATCCCTTTAAGGCCCCTATAATTTAAGGTCTATTCCTAAACCCTACACCCTAAACCCTTATAGATCCCTTTATATAAGGCCCCTAAAATCTAAGGTCCTACTTGGAGGATCATGGGACTTAGTAACTAAGGTTATAAGTACCCTAAATGGGGTTATAATTATAGTTACCTTATTTATAACCCTAGTTACTAAGTCCCATGATCCTCCAAGTATGCCTTACTTTAAGGGGTAAGTTGGGCTCGCTGGGTTTGGGGCCCAGGGTGCCAAAGCTCGGGCGGCCAGGTGCTCTTTTGGGCTTTGGGGCTAAACTCTAAACCCTAAACCCTTGCTAAACCCTAAACCCGAACTAAACCCTTAACCCTTACTTCACCCAAAACCCTAGACCCTATTCGAACTATTAACCTTTAAAAGGGAACCCTACTCCACATATTAAGGCCCCTATATCACCCTATATCACGTGTAGACCCTAGACAAACCCTAAACCCTTAACCCTAAACCTGGGATCTGCAGGAGCCGCCGCAGAAGCTGCAGGAGCCGACCCCTTCGACAGACCGGCCAAGGACAACGCAGAGATTCGCTTTGAGGGCTTCGGGGCTTCAAGGTTCAGGGCTTTGGGGTTTTAAGATTTGTGGGTTTAGGGCTTTAGGGTTTTAGGGTTTAGGGTTGACCGATGTAGGTGCATGACTGCTGTTTTTGTGATGATTGCCACGGTCATGTCTGCTAGTGGCTGTGAGTGCTAGTTACCATAGCTGTTACGTCGAAACCCCAAATTTTAAACGCCAAACCCCAAATCCTCAACCCTTAAAAGCACGCCAACAATAGAAAAGGAACCTCATGTAGATCCGAAGTTTCGAAGACCCAATGTCCGAATCAGACGCGCCCGAAAGCAGGAAAGGTCCGTTCACGAACAAAGGATGCAACCCGCACCCGAAACCCTAAACCGTACACCCTAAACCCTATAAGCCCTAAACCCTAAGCCCTACACCCTAAACCCGATAAGCCCTAAACCCTCAATCAAGAATCAGACCTGCATGCCCACTTCGAAAGTGGCTTGGAAGAGGCCGGGTTCGAAAAAATAATGTGGGAAAGACTCCAAACGAATACAGGGGCCTTCATAAGTACCTGTACTATTTTGGGGATTCCTTATGCTAGTTCTAGTTGAGTATACCCCCCCAAACCCTGCTCTAATTAAGAAGGCCCTTACATTAAGTCCTGAGTACAGGGTGTCCGGGGACCCGAGCCCGAGGTTGTTGGGCACGTAGAGTGCAAGGTACCTATAACGGCATTTATCAAAGACCGGAATCCGTTTAAATCGAAAGCCTAAGGGTCCGACGAACCTACTCTCTTTCATACGTCTCAAAAGACATGTAGGACCAACACAGACTACAGCCCTAGAGTAGGATTCACCAGAGCCTTAGGATTAGGACCAAGAGCGAAAACGAAGATCCTAAACTTAAACCCTAAACCCCTAACCCCTAAACACCTACCTAACTCCTAAACCCTAAACCCTAAACCCCTAAATCCTACACTTTAAACCCTAAACCCTAAACTCCTAAACCCTAAACCCTAAATCCAATCAGGAGCTGCGCCATGGGCGGCGCCTGGCACCCGGTGAAGCCTTCACGCCCGGACGCCTACAACTTCGAAGGGTCCAGGCAATCCTTAAGGGGATCTATAAGGGTTTCTATAGGGTTCTTACCGTGATGCGGGGTGAGGCGGGAAGGCACAGCCCACAACCATATATAGCTGTGGGGTTTAGGCATCAGGACGATGTATTGAGCTGTTCCCAACGATCTGTTATCAAAAAAGAGCATACTACATTTCTACCCAAGGGCTCCAATGTAGTTCCTTTTTGGGTCTGTTATGGTTCTTTGGTAAGGAGTTGTAGTATGATATCAAAAAGGAACTACACAGGAGCCCTTGGGCGTTTGCACCCTTTGGGAATGAGATGAGGATGCTGATTTGCGGTAGTCCCAAGCCTTAGAAGATTGCAACCCCTAAATCAGAATCCTAAACCCTAAACCCTAAACCCTAAACCCTAAACCCTGAGTGCTGGATTCGAGCCATAGAGTCGGCTTGGGGTTTGGGGTTTGGGGTTAAACAGGCTCTCAAATAGAGCTTTACATTCGATGGTCGAGGTAGACTCCACGAGCGACTGTACAACGAGCACGTCAGCAACACCGCAGGTATGCTTAAGCCGAAAAGATCTCGAAGGATTCTGGCGCGCGGAATTCCCGAAGCTCTTCAAAACTTTCCTTTCAAAGAGATGTAGACTTACAATACTCCACTGCAGCTGCATTATGAACAACGTTCAGGCCCCACAGCCATATCATTGAGACACTCAGAGTTAAACCTGCAGATGATTCGTAAGGTCAAGCCTTGGATCCCTCTGAAGATCTAGCAAAGGAGCTGACCCCCCAAAAGTAAGACCCTCAACCTCAAGCCTCCCTGAAACCGAAATCTTAAACCCGAAAGACCGCAAAAATCCTCCTGATCCTTAACCTCTTACCCATATACCACACCCTAAACCCTTAAACCCTCAACACCTTAACCCCTAAACCCCTAAGCCCTATACCC